GGTTGAAGGCAGGTGGGGATTTCTAAAATCATAGGACCGTTTTCGGGAGTTCCTATCATTAGGATGCAATCCTAATGATACACAGGCAGGCAATTCTTGAGAACACTCATGTTGTAAGGCAGTCAGGGCAGAAGCCTGGCAGCTGCACATGTTTTTGGTGGCCGCAGCGCTTGCTAGGGACCATCCAAAACCTCACCTCAAAGAACTCTTGTTAGCTATAGTTGGGGGAGGGCAAGCCCTACCGCAGCGGCATGAAAGGGAAGGGTTCTTTGGCAGTGGAAAAAGGAAAGTGGCGGCCGAGTTCTGCCAACCCACCATATCCCTTAGGCGTGGGGAGGGGAGTTGACCCAGAGCGTAGGCAAGCAGCAATGCCAAGTTGGAAGTCGCCCTTCCGTGTCGCCTCCCATCAGACGGGCGCAACATCACTTTATGTAGGAGCCTTAACGAATCATGATTACCCAGGTATTTCGGGCTGTGCTTTACGATAATTGGATCTGGATTGTGAGAGGACAGCATTCCCAATTCTCCAGGCTTCGACATGACTTCACGGCTCAAAGTGCATGGTCTTCAGAGTCTCCCGCGCTCATTACTTTTGGAATCGAGCCCTGGGCACCAAGCTGATCACACAGAATGATCCTGCAACACTGTGAAACTGCCCAACCTCCACCACGCTGGCAAAAGAGACAGTGTAGCATAGGCCGGCAGCAGCTTATTAGTAAGCATCCTCGTTCAGCCGAGACACGTTGTGCATGGCCATCTCCTGTGCAAAAGTCCGATGAACTTTCTTCTGAGATCTTCCAAGCTACCAATGCCGCGCGGGAATGCTTGATCACTGGCTTGCTCCCATTTAATGCCTTTGTCCAAGCAGCCACAAAAGGATTTGCTGTCCACCAGCTTTCTTACCGACACAAGGTTCACGTCTTTGAACCCTTGTCGAGGCTGGAGCCCGCGAAAACAAGCAACATCAATCTAACCCGTCCATTTTTTGCGAAAGTATGCTAAGGATCTAGGATGGGAGATCGAAAGCCATCAAGGTGGAATGGTACTGGCATCCTCAGAAGATACTTGTGTACGGCCTATAGTTCTTACCCCTCGTCACAACCATGAACAAAGACGCTAACCCGGGACGTTCGACCAGGCTTGTGAGGCAGGCACTTGCTCAAAACAAGTATCCCAGCAACAATGCCTTGGTTAAGATGCTTGGAATGTCGCTAAAACCCGAGGCGTTTCACCGAAACAAGAAGCTGCAAACAAAATCCTGCTTCTACATTCATCTTGAATCTTGTTCAACGCGTCGTCCATTCGCACCCTACAAGCCTTACACAGACTAGATGCGCGCCCGCCCCAACATGAAATTGGGGCTCCTTGTGCGCTTCCTCGGCGCATGTTGTTGCCACCTGGGGTCGAAGGGGCATGGGTGCGCCTCCCATGAAAGTCTGGAAGAGTTGCCATGTCTCTCCAGCGTTGCGAGAGCTTTCAGGGGTTACGCGTTTCGGAGTTTACACTACACGATTACATTCATGTAACGATACGTGAAACCATCTCTCTTGGCGCATTACATGACAACATTACCTGTCCTGTGCGTGTCCTCATGGAAATGCACGCCTGCCTTTTTTGTGTAGCTTCTTCAAGGCCAAGGCCGGGACTAGCGAACCTCCTAGACTGGGTCGCTCTTGAAGTGAGTTCCTCATTCCAAGGAAACTACACGATGCTTTGTATTTCATACTGGGGTAACTTAATTCTTGACTTACGTAGCAGCCACCCAGTAGATACAAGTTGTGCTCAGCTCATCTGTCGCCCCCGCCTGGTAGGAATCGAACACAGCAGCAACCCGATGACCCTGGTACCAACAGAGTTTGCCTGGCCAACTGGGGGATGGCAGAATTTGGGCTGCAAGAAAGCGCTCGTCTGGGCATGTCATGCATTTGCTGTAGCAAACCTGGCTCAAACAATCAGAATTGAGGAGCTCAAGAAAGGGGCCCTGCAGCATGCTACGTCTCTGACCTCCTGCTCGGTTTACTGCTGTCGCCACTGTTTCCCGAAACTTCAGGAGAAGTCCTCAGCTGAGCGGCGCACTCGACTCTAGATTACGTATGTTGCTTAAATGTAACCTCCGTACCACTATAGATGGTTTGTGGGTACACTTCCTAGACCCTCCTCCTACTCTCTATAGGGCCTAAGCACCTACTATTAGGGACCATATATCCCCAATTAAGGGTAAAAGGAGGGTCCTGGTTTAGAAGTGACGGAACCCTCCTCTCATGTTGAACCTCTACTGCAAGCCCGCTTGACACAAAGGCCAAGCATCGCAGGGTCTCCATGGGCCGCCGTTGGGCACGGGACTCGGCCCCGATACTTCGGGCGTAGGCAGCCAGGACCACGGTGCCTTCAGCTACCGCAGATACTGTAGGGGCCTGAGTGTAGTGGCTTATCTTCAACAGCCCCTCTCAAAAATCAAGACATGATTGTGCACAGACCATATTCTGACTGCCTGGTCCTCAGTTTTGCTTCCGTTTTGGTTGTGAGCCTTGCTTTGCGGAATCTCTTGGCATGGCGACAGTGATCGCATAGCAGTACGGCTACGGATTCCAGCTCTTCAGGTCTCTGGCTTTGGCACACAAATCGAAATCTCAAGCACCGGCGCCAGTGAGAGAACCACATACACGCACATCATGGCTCGTCTGAAGCCAGCATTTGCCAGCATAGTCCTATATGCTTGGGGTCAGATTGCGTGGTTCTGGGTGCGCAGGTCATCAGCAGTGCAAATGAAGCCCTTCAGCTTCAAACCGTGCAACCCAGCCCAACCCTGAACTTAAACAGGAAACCCTCATCCCTCCTACCATGTTGGTTAGTAAGGAGTTGAGGAATGCAAGACAAACTAAAGTTTCTCCAGTTTAATAAAGGAATTATACTATACAGGGTCTCCTCTCAGCATCCTCCATTAAATCGGTAAGCTACTCCCCACCCCAAAATGCAGTGGCGGCGCTCTTGGACTGTAGGCCCTCTGGCGGCCCAATGGCGTCCACAGCTGCTTCTATTCCAGGAGGGTTTGCCCGGGCCATGGGAATCGCCAGCCTATAGGCATCGAAATTTGGAAGGGGCTGTGGCCTGTCACCAAGTTTGCACCCATACAGTACTTGGATAATGTTGACCTCATATTCTTAAATCCACGCGTAATTGCAAAATCCAAGCCCCAGAAAGTAACTACAAAGGCACCCATAATTGCAAAATCTAATCTGCCAAACCGCAAGAATTGGGAAGGGGGAAAGAGCAATGTGTACTACTAATGTGTACTACTAATGTGTACTACTGGCTAGTGCTACTATTGGCTACAACGACTGGAGCTCCAGCTTATGGACCGGGATACGCTTAATTACGGAGGCTCGGGCCAGGGGGGTTCTTAGTATGAGGTGAACATTACATCCTTCCGCAAGCAGGAATGGTAATGGTGGTGCATGCATACTTCCGTCTATAACCACGTAGTGCCAGCATTAGGCGAGGAGCTTCTGGCTATCCGGGACCACGGCGCAAATGCAGCTTAGCATTTGCCCGCTATGCAGTTGTGCGGAGCGTTGGGACAGCTCCAAACCTCCAATCTCCACCAAGATCAGAAGACCGCTAGTCTTGTGACATGTACGTGTATACATAGCTATGATGAAAAGATGCATGGCAGTATCTCATAATACATTACCTTATATGTGGTCGTACAATCAGCGGACAAGAAGCTGGGCAAGAATTGCAGGGCCGGTTGGTGGTGGGGCTGGCAGTTGATGACAGACACGGATGTTATAGACACGCGATCGGAATAGCAAGCAAGCAATCGGTGATGACAGGGACACGCAGCTATGACCAAGTAATTTGTCTCCTACCCTCCATTTCCAATATCTACTTGCCCTGGCCACTCAGGTTCACACATAAATCCATAAGCAATCTGAACTGTCCAAGTGTCCTTAAACTTAAAAGGAAAGCCCACCAGCGAGCTCTTAAACCCCGGCTAGTACCCCCGTTTTGCGTGCTCAACTCTGAAAACTAAAGCTTTGCTAAAACCAGCCTGTAGCAAGAATCACCCAAACACTGAAACTTAGAGCCAGCACCTTTTGACTCTGGGAACAAAAGAAGGGATGGTTTTTGTTACCCAGGGGCAGCCGGAATCCCGCAGCAACCGAAGTTCCTGGTCCTGTGATCATTTGTTGAGGTTCGCTTGCGGGACAAAGAAGGGGTTGAGCCTGTGGTCCTTTTGCTGCCCGTCTCCGCCTTTCACGCAACACTGACACCCCCAAATTTGGATATCCGAAGACCTGCACGTAACCGAAGGAATCCAGTGGCCGGGGGCCTGCTTGCTTTGAAGCTCCAAGGTGAAGTTTGGCCAGCAGTCAGTTAAACCCTGTCATGTATGATCAAGGCTGCAGAAGCCCGCCAGGTAAGATCTTTGATTGAGCTCTCGCTTGTTGGGAATATGTAGGATTGAACGGCATCGGAAGTTCGGGGGTCGGCCCACCAAGTTTTCCAGGAAGCTTACAGGAATTGATCTGCATGCACCAAGCGTACTAGTAGGACTGTTCCCCACCCTTCTTACAGAACTCTCCATATCTAGAACGGGTGAAATGATAGGGAGGTAATTCAAGCTTTGCGTGCTTCAGGGCGGAAGTGAGTTAGACACGTGTTGCACATGATATGTGGGCAGCTTTTGATCTCTGTAGTTCCTGCACTTGGGTATCCCCAATAAGGAGGTCTTTCAAAAGTGGCCATCAGCCCAGCCTGGGATTGAAACCCGAAGGGACTTTATAGGGGGTTAGGGTTCAGGGGTTCCCTATGATCTGTTCCTCTTATTGGCACCTGCAAGATCCTAGCAATTCTAACGATAGAGCTGGTAAGTCTTACTTGGTAAGCGTGATAGCTTTGGCTGGGGTCCTCGAGGCCGGAGGCACAAGCAGCACTGCTGACCTCGGTCAGTGTTGTGTTGGGATGGTGCCCAAACTTCTTACTTCTTCCTTCCTAAGCTAAGCAGGTTGCACTCTCCCAGGGCCCTGGACAAACTCAGCGGTGACTAACAGACATTCCCTGTGCTTTATTCGGTGGTGGGTAAGAAGCAAAATCAACAATGGCGCAGTGACGAATAGCTCACCAGGCGAGGCCAGCTCTTCCATCCTCGGTTTTGCGGCAGTTCTCAGGGGCTGAAGGGTTTAGGGGCTTATGTGCGCAGGCTTGAGGTTTCAAGCGGAGGCCGAAGTTCCAAGTGTTGGACATGATTTTTGGGATGCCGCAGCCCATGCCCTCCACAAGACTGGAATCTGCATGAAGCCCAACATGGATGGATGGTTTCTGGGGACTACCTAGACCTACCAGACAGCTATAACAGCAGCCTCATGTATTTATTCTGATGTTATTGGCTATCAGTACAAGTATGTCGGCGGTCTAGCTTGCTATGGTTTAAGCCGCACAGATGGTTAGCGGGCTGCCATGGCCTTTCTCCTAAACAAGAACCCAGCACCGGTAAGTGCAATCGAGTGTCTGCATGGCCGCATCAACAGCCTCTCCAAAGAAGTCCCCTCGCATGGGCAGTAGGTGGCCCATCTCCATCCCAACAGAGACGGAACAGAGCGTGCTACAGCCCTGGCAGTCCTTGTTGTAACCATCTCCTGCCCACTCAGGAAATTCAAAGACAAGTCTCTGCATGCGAAGGGCGATGCGCAAGCCCAGTACAGCTGTGTCGCAATATAAATAAATACAGCTGCCGTGGCTGTTTACCCAGTGGATTCCATCTTCCCATGCAGCGACGACATAATATGCCCGCAGATAGCACAGCAGCAGCAGATTTTCTTTGCGGTCATCGTTGGGCAGATGTATCCGGATGACCACGGCACATGCTCTGGCCATAAGGCGCTTTTCTAATCGTTGCTCGCCCTGCACATTGCCCTCCACAGCTGCCAAAAGACTGTTCAACCGTGTTTCTGTTAGAGCATCGTCTTTCTGTGCCAGAGCAGTAGGATGCTCTGTTGACATCACGACGCGTGCACCTCGCGCCGGCGACATCGGCGACATGGGGAGCGCCTCCGCCTGCGGCGAGCTGGGCACAGATGTGACAGCGCCGTATTGCGGCAGGAGGCCCAAGTTTCGGAAGGCAAACGTCCACTTCTCGAAGGATGCCTTATCAGGGCACTTGATGGCTGGCGAGCTCACGGCCTCTCGGAACGCGGCACCACCACCAGAGATGCCACACGTAACCAGCGACAGTGCGTTCTCATCAAGCGTGACAGGAGGCTTCTTGCCGACTCCCATAGGTGAAAGCTCCACTGCTGCGAGTTCCCAGTGGGAGTCAGGCTCCTCAAAAATCTCGAGGATAGCATTTCCGCCAGGGAGCGGGCTTAGAACAACAAATCTTGGCAGCGGCTGGGCCTCGTCGATGCAAACGCCAACGACGCCTACAGTAAGAGCCTGTGTCACCCTCCCAATGCCTTCGTGTTGTCTCCTAGTGCAATTCCAATACTATTTGGTTTCTGAAGGACAAAAATCGTAGGTTTGAAAAGAACTAGGCGTGAAAGGAACACACAACACATACAAATTCCCCACCAAAACAGAGCTCCAATTCTTTAAGCTCCAAACCTCCCCGAATTCTCGTTGATCTGATCAATTTTGTTGCAATCCTTGTGCTTCCCACTGAAAAAAGTTCTGACTTCAGCCCAGAAGTCAGCGAGCAAAGCTATCTTCCAGGCTGTGAAGTCTGGACACCAACTGCTTTTGGTCGGACTCCGTCTGCTTGAACCTCTCTACTACTGATAGCAATAAGAATGGAGATGCTAATAGTGCTTTGGAGCCCATCTTCTTCTGAAGTACTCCAAGTGCCTGGGGCTGGCATGCAGGGCTGGCCTCAAGAACCATTTCAATCGAAGATCTTGATCCCAAAGCCCAACGAAGAACAGATCAAGCTCAAAGGGACTTTGTACTGCTACGGTTCCCTTATTCCCAGCTCAGCATGAGTAGGGTTCTCGAAGGCGCCCGTCACCCAATATAAAATGTTCAACCGAGGTTGGGGGCCACCCTTTACGTTAACTCCCAAGGCCACAATACGAGACATGTGCAACTCCAGGACGCTGCTCCCAGCCTATCCCATCTTTAGTCTCACTCCTCCGCCGCCAAGATTACAAAAGGGGCTTTCCGTGCTGGGCCAGCCGTATGACAAAATGCTCTTGGACCCAAATTCCCAACAAAATTGGAAAGCCTGCTGTGACATGGCCTTCCTGCGACTGTAGATGATAGCGAGTTAAAAGCGTAAAGGGCGCAAGCCGGTTTGTTGCGGGGCGAGTAGACAGGCAACTTGAACAGCCAAGAAACCAAGCTCCGTTGGAATGGTCTGGCCGAGAAATTGACACTCAGGGATGTGCGTACTCAAATGTTGTGTTCCCTGTGCATGGATATTTCAGAGACTCCAAAACAGTTGCCCTTTTAGAACGTCTTGCGATGCCATCAAGGCCCCAAAAGCATTGCGTTGGATGGCAACCCACACCCACGCCTAGACACTCAATTCATACGCAGTCTATCCAAAGTTCGGGAAAGATTTTTGTATTTGCAAAGCTTAGGGTGATCGCTTGTATGCCCCCTTTACCAACCCAACATGCTACGGTCCTTACGCCAAAGGGAGGGGTGGTGCTTATTTTCGGCGCTAAATTTCTGGGGAAGGGGCTTGCTGCGGGCAATGCCGGCATCGGTCAGAAGCCGCTCGCGCTGACCTTGCTTTTTGGGCATTGAGAATTAAACTGGGAGCCTAAAACACAAAATGAGGTTTTGGGATAGATTTTCACAATCATTTGCATAAACAGTTTTGTTCTTCAATTGTTCAGGCTTCTGGGTTGGAGACTGGCTCTATACAACCAAAACACATCTGCCCTTCTTTTTCCTTTCGGAAGCACCATAAAAGGAGGAGAGCGGAAACTGATACATGAAATCCATGAATGCTACACTTGACTAGAACGGGACATCATTATCCTGGGCGCGGGGTGTGCGTGTTATTCTCATCATAGAATCCTGTATGAGGCTTCGAAAGACATCAAAGAATCTAGCTATTACTGCCTGGCATCCTCGCTTGAAGCTTCGGACAAACCGCAACAACTACGGTCTGACTGCTATGGTTCAGGTCTAAAAGGGTAGCTAACTGCTAGATGAATACCCACACCGGATTGCTGCTATTGCAGATCATTGAAACAGCCGAGTCGGGACATTGCGAAGGCTTCCAGCAAGCGGGGGCTTCGTTTTGCAAATCCTAAAACAAAATTATCAAAAGGGACTGAAAAGGAAGACCCGCGATTTTTGAAATCCATTCAATTGATGCTTGAGGTGGCGCTCCTTCAGCGTAACTTATCTCATGACAAAGACACGTCTAATGGCTTGACGCCTAGAAAATGCTTGCTAACACAACTGCGCAGTAACTTCTCCTAATGAGGCTCGCGATTCTTTCATGTAGTCAAACAGGTTTGCGGTTGTGGAAACCGCCCAGGAGACCTTCTGCCTGGGCAACCTGCATGCTTTATCAACTTGAGCCTTAGAGCCTCCTATGCTCTGATCGGCCCAGGGGCTGTCCCTGATCCTTGCCTCCTCCTCCAGCTTCCGGACGTACTGACTCAGAAGCTTGACCTCTTTCCTCAGATTGCTCAGTGGCCCCTGGGACAAGCAGTCTTCAAACTTTCGCAGTCAGGACTGCCGCCTTCAGTCTTCCTGTCTATACTCCAGCCTTGAGGACGCCTCGAGGCTTGCATGCTTCAGAAGCATCTCTCCATCTAGCTCTAGCCGAGGTGGTCAAAGAAGAAAGGATGAAGAACCTTCCAGTAAGCAATCAGAACAAACTAAGTATATACTTTAGCGGCGTATTCGGTTCTCGGCTACCCTGATCGCCCTACACCCTGCAAAAGAACCCTCATCCAAGGCTCTCTTTGGTGTCTAGCTTTAAGCTCAGTTCCTTGACTTCTCGCGTCCGGCTCTCGTTTTGCTTCTGAGCCTCCCAGTGGCCATTTCAACAAATAAGCATGACAGTCGTGGTCATGTTGTTGACACTGCTTGCGATCCTTGACTTGAAGCCTTCACTGTTTGGTAATGTTTGGTAAATGTACAGCCCTAATACGACACACGGCCCTGACAAGTGTACCTGCAAGAGGCCCATAAATCTGACGCACGGCTGCATTTCTCGATTCAGTAGCAGCAAGTCAGCCTCGTGGTAGCGATCTTTCCACAGGCCTCCCTCTTGAGGCGAGACAAGTGCCTGGAAAGACAGGGCAGCCACAAACAGGTTTGGCATGCCTAGGCTCCTCTGCTCTCTTGTCACGAGCCTTTTCCCTCAGACTTGGTTGGTAAACGGTTCTTGGCAACCCTACTCCCCCCCCCCCCGCGCCAGAAGTCCACCATTCCAAGGTAAGAGGCGCCTTTTGCAATGTGTCCTGCGTCTCACGCAGGGTTCTCTGCAGGGTATCGATGGCTGCATCGCGCTGCAGGAGCTCGCTGTCCAGGTCTGCAACCTCTGACAGCATTGGGAGAAAGCAGGCATGCGGGAGAAGGGGATGAAAAGATGAAAGCCTGCAAAATTGCAGGGTTCCATGCAAGAAGTGATGAAGCAGCTGATGAGGATCTGCCCTGCGACGTCTAAGTTCCGTAGCCGTGAGGGCGCCATTCTACCGCTATGTAGGTACCTATCTACCTGACAATTACAATCTAATTTAGAATAGGGCGGATTTGGAGTGTATTCTGCACATAAGGAATAGAAGTGAATAGCATTGGAAATTGTATAGGCTTGTGCACTAGTAGAGCCCCAGGCTTGCTTAGCAGACTTGGGCATTGTGGCCAGGAGCATGCTCCCTGAGGGCCGAGAGTTCTTCTTCGGCTGCTGGCATGCCTTGCAAAAGAGGCTTTCATGAAAGTGCAACACGCGTAGACCTCCAGCTTCGCGCCTGCATACCTTCCGCGCAGCGCATATCCAAAAACCGAGAACGATTGACAATTGCAAGAACGAGACTTGGCACATAGGGCGGAGCCCTTTGACAATCCTTATAACATTCCTGTGTAAGTGTTTCTATGTTCGAATGTTACTACATTCATTCCCCCACTCCCCTTAAGCACCAGTAAGTCCTCTGCCTCTTGCCGGTGCGCCGCGTGGGCTGGCAGCCCATGCCGAGGGCGAGCTGAGAGGGCTCGAGGGGCCTCCAGAAACGGAATTCTGGCTTGTTGATCTTGTTGTTAGTAGGGAAGACCAAGTGGAAAACGGAATTAAACAGGGTTTCTAGGGATACGTAGGGTTCAGGTTTCTCTTGCTGGTTCTCAGTAGAGAAAGAAAGACTGAAAAAAGAACATGGAAAGTACCGGCAGGGATTATCTAGGGAATCTAGGGCTTCGCAGTTCCTCGTTCTTCTACAGTAAGATTATGCGTTGGATACTAAGATTTCTGCAGTTAAACTATTAGGTGATTGTTATACGTCTGCGGTGGGGGAAGTGCCCGAATACTTGGTGTTCTTCGGTGTCCGGTGATTACGTCTCTGTGCGATGCGACCTTGACATTCAGAAGTGCAGATTCCCTCCTCTAAAACCCGTAAACCGCCGAAGCCAAAGCCTTAAACCCCTACCCCCCGACACTGTGGGGGAGCCCCATTCCTTTGCCTGCTGTGTTGATTCGTCATGTGCACAGCTATATTGATGGGCTGGAGAACCTCACTTGGGGGAAATTGTTGTTGTAATATGCTGCTTCCGGGCGTCCTTGTACAAGTATTTTGAATTCCCAACGACGCGGAAACTTCAGTCCCAAGCTGCAGGATGTATGTTTATTGGCCTGGGCGTAGCAGGTTGCAATCACAGTAGAAAGATGTAACCTTGAATCCGATCTGCAGCCCGTGTCTGTTATGTGCGCCCGCGCGTCACGTATTTACACCCCCCCCCGCCCTAGCCACCCGCATATTGCACCTAGTAACTAGTATCAGTGTGAGTTCTCCAAACATTTGGACGCATGCAAGGGCATGAACCCTGCAACTCCAAAGGACAAGAAGAACCCCTTTTTAAGGAACACACAAATACAATTGTCTCTTATTATGTCAAAAATTGCAGGCCATTCCGGTGCCTTTCCAAAACCATCATCATATACTGTTACTGTTCAGGCCGCGGTGCTCCCATACTACCTTCCCTCAAGAAAAATTGTCTCCCTCGGAGCTCTACCAAAGCCCGTCTTTTTGCGTACCTGCCGGGCGCGATTCTGCAAAGCCCAGGAGGTCGCCCGCTTGGCTCGGAGAGGCTTCGCCTGGTTCTGTAGGAGCTACTTCTAGGTAGCTTTATGCAATGTCATGAAGCCTTGGGCCAAGACATGCTACCGAGCACTAGTGTGATCCACCATTGTAGCCGTAGGGTGACATATTGCTGCCTGGTCTCAGAGCGCAGCCTCTTGGCATGAGGAAGGTGAGCAAGAGCATGAGTTGTAGCAGCAGGAGAAGCAGAAGCAGAAGCAGCAGCAGTAGTCATCGTCTTAGCCATCCTAGCCGCCCCGTGAAATATTTGGGGGCTTGGACTGAACGCTGCTTGCTGTCGACGCCGCGATGTGGGAGTTCCAGATAACTCTAGTATTGTTTGAGAACGTTTGGGGTCAATGGTTAGAGCCCAGTGTTTTGCAGTAAGGGTACTGGGGTGTCGGGCCAGGGGTGATGCTTTTCTAAGAAGGTAAAAATGGCAAGGCCATGCATTCAACATGCATATTCCATCGGTTCAGATTGTTGAGACCTCCGCTAAAGGTTGTGCAAACTACTGGGTGTATTCCATACCCTGATATGGCTTCGTTCCTGTGGTCTGGCACCAATAGGCTGTGCTCATACAGCGCAGCTGTGGAGCTGCTTTCGCAACACTTCACGATGCTATTGGTTTGAAAATGATGTTCAACACGAATTGCTACGAGCATAGGGTTTCTGCGGCAATACACGAGATGATTCAACCCACGAAGCATCATTAAGCATGGCATGCAGGGGCCTGCCTCTTGTGCAGTTCCAACCTACTTAAGCACAGCACTTTGGTTTGAACCAGCGCAGTGAGTGATGATCACCCTGCTGCCCCGCTTATCACTACACTACTACGTCGCCTACCACCACAGCTACAGCGGCGTCAACAACATTATCCAACCCAAACAAAGTCATACAAGTGCAATGCAGCCCCTAGCCCCAATCTCCCAAGAGTAGCCCAACTATGTTGAGAGACACAACATGTTTTAAACATTTTTTGGGGTCATGGGGTAGGGGACTGATTCTTGGAAGGAACCGATTCCTCGGTCTTGCGGTTGCAGAGGATTTTCCATCCAAGCAGCTAGGGGCTGCAGCCGGCGCCTCACAGCACAAATGCGATCTCTGGCGCAGGCTTTCTTTCCAGCTCGTGGCCATTATTCCCCTTGGAGCCCAGAGGGCCTCTCACATCCTAAATATGTCTGTTTTCGTATCCTTTCCCATCATAATCCATGTTGGCGATGTTTTCGCATGTCTGTGGCCCAGCTGTGCCGAGACAGGAACTGAGCGTCTACATTACATCTGATTATACTGCTATGGGATGCCCGGGCAAAACTGCAGGGTATGATGATTGTTGCATTAAGAATCAGTAGTTTGCATATCAGCCGGGTATAATGCACATAGGGCATAATAGTAGTGATAGCAATAAGTAATAGTAATAATGATAGAAATAAGCAATAGTAGTAAGATGTAGTAAGTTACTATTTTAGCAATATAATCCCTATAGTAGCTTCCATTCTCTTATCCATCATCCCCATTTTCCCCTATATAAGAAAATATAATAAAGTCCCTATGGTAGCTTCCATTTTCTTATCCATCATCCCGACATACCCCAACCCTAAACCCTAAACCCCCAATATAACCCTAAATCCTATATAACCCTAATCTAGAAATATATTATCCCCCTATGCTGAACAGGCTGCAAAAACCCTAAAACATAAACCTCCAAAGTAATCAAACTATGACCCCAATTCCAATACAACCCGAATATTACCTAAACCCTAAACCATATAACCCAAATATAATTCCAATATAGCCCCAAAATAACCCTAACACACCCCAGTATAGCCCTATGCTAAAAAGACTGCATGGGGCTGACGTTGGGCCTCTCCACGCAGCGCCTTCAACTGTGCGGAGATCAGGGACTGCTCTGCCCGCGCCTCTGGGTTTAGGGGTTTATATACTGTGGATAATTTCGGGCCCATTAGGGTAATTTTGGGGCTATATAGGGAATAATGAAAAGAAAGCGGAAATTGCTATATTATAACAAGGTATATATTGGTGGTATATGGGGGTAATGGAAAACAAGACGGGAAACTACAGGGATTATGTAGGGTCATATTAAGGTTATATTGGGATTATATTTAGGGCTATCTTGGTAGAATATTGGTCTAGGGTTTAGGGTTGGGGTTCTACAGGGATAACGAATAAGAAAATGGAAGCTAACATAATATATTGGAGTTATATTGGGGTAGTGGAGAAGAAAATGGAAACTACTATATTAGGGTTATATAGGGTTTAGGTGGTTTTACGCAGCACGACCTCTGCACCAAGTTCCCCTGTACACCTGCAGCCATAACATGTTCAGAAACAGAAATGTGGTAATGTGGTGTTTGTACCTCACAGCAATCATCACATGCCACCACAATATTTCAGGTGCATGTATGAGCTGGGAGAGATTATCCACCATGATGCCAACCTCTTTACCAAAGCCTCGGCCATTAATCTGCACCTAGGAAACCCCAAAGAGCACGATCCTGGAAAAGAGGGATGAAGTGCTCAGCTGCTGGACGTTGCCATTGAAAGCTTCATGAAGCTTAATTATCACTTAGAGGAAGGATAAACTATACTAACGTCTCCCTAGGTGAACCTGCGGAAAGAGCCTTCGCACATCCGACCTTTCTGAATGAGACTTCTCGTGTCTCTCTGCCGGTCTATCTGCGAAACAGGAAGCTATGTGCAAGTGAACATACGCAGAGTGGCGTTTCAAGAGTAATTAGTTTCCGGGCATTGCTGATCGTCCTTGCTCCCATTGGACCATCCACTGATCAAGGCTTATTCCGTGTAGCCAGACTGTGAACCGAGAAGCAGAAAGGCACAATGTTCAGCGATGGATATCTTGGCTGCGGCGGCTGCTGCTGGTATAAAATAACAAACGCTGAGCGAGCGGGTTGCGACTTCTCGGCTGAGATAATATCCACAAAAACAACACACCATCCGGACCGCCACCGGCACTGGTACCACCCCCATCACCAAGAAGAGGTGCAGGAGCAGCAGCGGCAGCAGCAGCTGTAGCAACAGCATCGGCAAAAATAGCAACAGAACAAGACAAGTAGAAGGGTCGTCATTCGAACCACTACTGTTTCCAAGGTGTTCCAGTACTGTTGTCATGACACACGCCTCCGCCATCAGGGCTGCCATGGACTCTGTTGAGGTGGCCATTGCTCTCACAGGGAAATCTTTGCCCACTGAATTTGCATCTCGCCGTTGTCCCAAGATTGTGTATTCCCGGAATGGGCTGAAATTAAAGGGAAGGCTGTGTACCTGATGCTGACTGGAAGGGATGGGCGGCCTCATCTCTTCCTGCAGGAGTTGGGCACGGAATGGCATGGACAAATAAGCAACCCTTTGCTGATCACGTGAGAATGACCGACGAATGCTGCAGGCGCATTTTGTGGCGCATGCCCTCATTAGAGGTCTTCAACCAAATAGCTTGCAAGATACTGTAGTGCAAAGTTGAGTGCTGTCGTGCCTGCTCCGTCGCATGCTACAGCATGCCGGCAGTACTTGAGCCGTGCCAGCTGGCAGTCAGATGCAGTCTGGCAGTTGTAACATGGGTATGTTGCAGAAGTCATCAAAGAATGCAGCTAGGCAGCTTCCTGGTAAACCAAGCATGCACCGACAACTGTTTGAACTGTGTCGCTGGCTCATGTCAAGTGCCGCATGCTCAGCTCAGTCACGGCGGAAGCCGGTCGCTATCTTGCATACGATCTTGAACCGGAGCTTGCCTTGCCACCACTGCCTGCAGTATGGCGCCTCCTGCTTCCCACTTCCAAGCCGTCGAAGTCCGCAGACCCTTCCAGGATGATCTAGGTCCAGCATGCTCAAACAAGGTGGCCGCGAGCTTGTAGTCCCACATCCGCATATCTGTCCAGAACGACGTGATGACCCGGCTGTGGGAATTCACCTCATCAAGGCCAAGAAGTTCAAGCCGGTATAGAGGCAATTACCCTTTGACCTTTGGACATCCCACATATCCTTGACGTAATCCTTACATGCGCTGTAGAGGGACCCCGATGACCATCATGTGGGCTGCAGCGAGCAGGGCACCTTGGATAGCATCGTGCGAAATGCAGCTCTCACGACATGAGGGTTTCGTAAGATGGGGGTCTACATTTGGCATGGAAACCACCACATGAACCAAGATCAAGACTCATCAAATGCCGCTGTGCTGTGCAAGACAAGTTGTGGAGTTTGAAAGCTAGTTGGGAGGGCTCTTCTCGGCTACACTGCTCAGGCAGCCTGTGCTAAGACCGGTCAAGGACAGCTATTCGCATGGCCATTACTGTAGTTCCCAAAATGAGAGCCGATTTCTGCACTCCAGGCTTTGACAGCCAGATCTAAGCACAGGCCCTCTGCCACATCGGAGACTACTGACAGGTTGTTCGTCGGGAATAAATGAAGGGATGCCTGTCGTCGTTCTACATGCCCACCCATAATGTATGAATTTCCGTTTTGTTTTCCACTCCTCAATTCTCTACTAACAACCGGTATGTTTGAACCCTGAACCCCCTAGACCCTTCTAAGCCACCAGCTTCCGTTTGCTTTTCCAGATGATTTTCGAATCCCTGCTTACAAACCGTAAGAGTAAGCTGGGCACAACTGAAGCTTCCCAAGCGAAGACGGCAAAAGGCTCCATTGGAATTTGGACTTCCTCCAGGGCTGAGACCTGGGCTAGTGGGACACGAGGGCTTCAGAAAATGCCAAAATGGGTGATAGGGGTGTAGAGACAGGGAGAGCGAGAGAGAGAGAGAGAGATATGTATATACATACATGTAGAAGGTCTGGGGTTTAGGGATGACAGCTTCTCGTGAGGGCAGAGCGAGAAAGGGCTGGAGATCGAAAAGAGATGATAGGGGTTTCTACTGCAGCCTCAATGTTGGCAATTGGCAATGCAAAGATACCTTCACGTGCATACAAGCCCGTATACTCTCCGGCCATCATCAAGAGGCACACTGCAGCTTTGCCATCAGCACTAGACATAACAGTAGTCCTGATGACAGCGGTGTCGAACTGCTAGTCAATCTTTGCGTTACTTGGTTCGAGCCGCTCTGTAGGGCCAGTTTCTTGTTCTCTTGTGTATTGGCTGCGGTCACCCGAATTTGACGCCATGTTTGCGCTGAAGAACTCTTGGACTGATTTGGCATGTTAGGCCCCTACTATAAAATCTCCAGCTCATCTCACTGACTTCCTGACTTCCAGCCATCGGCATTTCACATGTTGAGATCTCGTGGAGAAAATCTTGCACCACCGTACAGGCCTACCCTTTACCCGTCTTTTCCTATCTCTCGCCAAACCTGCCATCGAAATGGGCACCACCTACGGGTTGAAAAAATTAACCGTCTCTTTTGGGGTTCCTTATATGGGGATGATATTATACTGAGTGTGTATGAACGACCCTCGTCTTGGAAACCCATATGAACTAAAGCCTTTTAAAATAGGTAATTAGGCGCATTACGAAAGAAACGCTAATATCATCAATAACCTGGTTATGACTGGGCTTCCCCGTACCTGACCTGGACCCCAACAAGCCTCTACATAAACCCAGCTCCCATTTAATGTTCAGGCTTCTTTTCCATGTGAATCTCGATCTTCTCATTACCCTCACCCCTAAACCTTTCAAGCCTACATCCGGAAGACCGTGAGCTACGTGCAAAGGACCGGGGCTTAGTGCCCAGCTGTAGCAACTGTCGGCGCCGAGCCGGGGCAGACGGTCCTTAAAATAGGGATTTTAGGTTTAGGGTTGCAGGGGCCGTCAGGCTTCGATTCGCTTCTGGTTGGATCTACAAGGCCTTTGCTGATGGCACGTGGCAAGGCAGGTTCCATGGGTATTGTTACCTTGCTCATTGCTATAGAGGCCCCGCATGTTAGCAATGCCTCTACCCGCGGACTCTACCTTGCAACACCTGAAAGTGCTGGAACGGACAAGTTCTCCGGCGGTTCAGGTCGGTATCTAGACTGAGGCATCGGCTTCTGCGGAGCTTGCTGCATCCAGGCGATGGCAGGATGCCAAAAGTGTGGGAAAGCACTCCAGTCCGCCAAGACTGAGGTCTGGATTGCCAATATTCTAGCATAGCAGCTGAGCCCTGCACGTTAGCTGGAGAGGCCGGACACTCCAGCATGAGGCTGGAGAAAGAAGGCCTGAGGCCACGAACACGTGATGCGGACCATGCGCCGTAGTGTAACATGCTCTCGCAACTACCATTAACACCGCCCGGCGCAATACGGATACATTAGGCTCCTAGCTCTTTGAAAATTGGCTCCTTTTCATTTGGGTTTAGGAGGCTGGGAGCTTTCTCAACCTGCTCTGCGTGACTGTCACAGTTGATAAGCACATGTGCTGGCACGCTACTTAACGTCATCTCATGATTCCTCGACCCACTACACGTCGCGGCGTCAGAGTTTTGAAATCATCCGGATCTCTGACAAAGCTGCGGCTTCCCCCGCCGCCCATGGGGAAACCTGCCATGGCGGCACAGCTTAATTAGGGTTCAGGCCTTAGTCCTGAGCTAGGTTTAGAATTGATATGGTAGACTGGGGTTGTTGTGCTGTTATTAGGTGTAGAGTTGTGATGTATGTACGTATATAAGCTTGAGGTTCAGTGCTCAGGGTCGTTTGGGCTGTCCTCAGTTTAGGTTTCCTGCTTCGCGGGCTCTTCTGGGGCCGATTTCTTACGGATCTATATCTTGGGTTCCTAATTTTTGGAACCTTTCATGTGAGGTCTGTTTGGGAGCCGTTGTTTGGGCGGGTGAGGTGTTGGGCTTCAGGGAAGGGGAGGTCAGACTCAGACGGTCTAGGCTTTCCAGCTTTTGCTTTGCGGAACCCTATTTTCTGCCAAGTTGTAGACCTCGCAGGGAACTTACAGAAAAGAGGGTTCTAGAACTTTGGATCAGTTCAGCCTCGCCAACCAGACAAATGTTTGAACTCCACATGCTCGTAATTCTATCCGTGCCAAATGCATCCCCTACACCACAGGACTCAAACTCTGAACCTAAGGCCTGCAAATGCTGAGGCCCATGGTATGAAGCAGACCTTGCTATGCCAAGCGCTCTCAGAAGCCGGGCGCAATACATTCGTCAAACTCACACAAGCCAGGGCTTTGAGGATTCTATCCGTGCCACAGCTGGCTCAGAGTTTTGGGGTTTGGGGTTTACGTCAATAGGGGTCCCTACTGAATGTACTGTAATCCGCATCCTAGTGGCTCACAAAAGGCCCTTGATTTTTCACCTGTTTAGGTAGGCGAGTTCTAGGATGCTTGCCCTCCTAGCTGTTGGCTTGTGCTGAAATCTTGTGGTCGTCCAGGGATTTGAATTGCGCGCCCAACTGGTTTGGACTTTGATAGTTCAGCTTGGGTTTGGAGGATTTGTTTACGAACTCTGGCAGATGGGTTCCTTCCTCTCTCTAAAGCACACACGCGTGGAAACTCAACATGTGTTCCTACCGGACCATGTTTTCGGTCCAGCTCATCTTTGCAGGAGCCCACCACGCCTATCAACAACACAGTCGAGTCGCCTCCTTGATGCTAAGCTGAAGTTTACTAAAGAACTCCATCCCCCAAGATGCAAAGACTCCAACACGCTGAATACACTTGTTACAGCATCTGAGGCATTTTTGCCCGGATGAGTCGAGCATTCTGTGCATCGCCGACGCTCGCAGTTCCAACACGTTGGCGAGCTCTGCAAGACGGCTCTCTGATCCAAGGTATCGTTCTCAGCATCGGCCCGATATACCTCAGATTAGGGGTACGGCTTTGCCTGAGGAATCTACACTGTATCACTACTTCACAGATTCGGTGACGACGCCTTGAACATTTACAGCATTTGCGCAGCCTGCGAAAGGGCTGCCTCATGGCCAGACTTCGGGGACCTTTGTGGGCTTGCTTTAAATAGTTATCGGCCAAGTCCTCATGATTCAAGGATTAAGGCTTATAGATTGTGACCTACAGAAGCACAACTCCCACGCGCAACCTCATCCTCTGATTGCTTCGTTTATGGCCACCGTGATTTCAACCGGACACGGCTCCAACCCTGAACCCTAAATCCCACGAAGCCCTAGGCCCTGAGCCATAAATCCTAAACTGTAACCCTTAACCCTAAACCATAAGCCCTCAATCCTAAGCTCTAAACGGTGAGGGCTAAAGGCAATGGGTTGCCGGAGTTGAGGGCCTGAACCACAGGATTGGTTTGGAGAGTTTAGTATAGCGTTCAGGGCAATGCACTCTGGCAAAACAAAGGGCTGTAAGGCAGCCTGAGTCACAAAAACTGTTCATGCATCGGGGCTGGCTTCGCCCTTTTAAACCTCCTTTGGCCAAAAGCCGCCCTTCCTCAAGGCCTTTGCAATGCAACTCACACATCTGTACAGGCAAAAAGGCTGAATCAGCCAAAAAAAGTTTTACGAGTCTGCAGCTCAGCATTGGGAACTCCTCTGTAACTTGGCCCCCGGTCGGGGACCCTTAAAACTGCACGGGGTGAGCCAGCAGGCTTAGGCTACCCCATGACTGCGTGCGGAACCCCCGTTGCAGTCCATGGCTCGTCTTTACCGGAATGCTGCCTCCATGGTTTTCCTGGTGTTTGGAATGCCAGAATCTTGGCAATGCGCAATGCATTCCCTGTAAAGCCATGACATGGATTGTATCAGTATGGGAGCTTGGCCACCCTGAACCCTGAAACTCTTAAATCCGTAAACCTTGAACCAACCCTGATGCCGAAATCAACTTTCAAGCTTCTATTGAAACGTAGAGTCGTAGCAGACGTAGACCACCCTTCTTGGCTCTACCACCCTCAGGTTGGAACCATGGAGGAGCACATCAAAACTTTGCTTTGTAATCGGCAGCTGGTGGAACTAGGAGCTTGCTCTGCGCCCTGAGCCTGTTGGGTTCAGATTTAGGGCCCCTCAGTTAAGCCTCCACGTCAGTTCGGTCCATCTGGTCAGGTTCTCCCGGCTCCTGAGGCTGCTACTACTCCTACCACTTCTACTTCTACTTCTACTTCTACTACTACTACTACTACTACTATTATTCCTATTGCTCCTACTACTCCCACTACTCCTACCTCTACTCTTCCTCCTGTTCCTGTTCCTGCTCCTACTCATACTGTCTGCTACTATCACCATTATTGTCATTCTTATTATTTCTACAACTATGACGATGACGACGACGACGACTACGACGATTACTACGACGACGACGACGACTACTACTACCAGTACTAGTACTGCTACTACCAGCACTACTGTTGCCACAACTCCAATTAGTACTACAACAAGAACAAGAACCACGACTGCTACTACTGCTTCTGCTGCAACTACTACGAGTACTACTACACTACTACTGCTGCTACTACTGCTGCTACTACTGCCACTACTGCTACCGCTACACAAGCAGAATGTTTGTAAGTTTTGAGCATTGCTGCACAAGGGCCTGCAAACCCAACATGGAGACTGATTGATCCCAGTGGCGGTTTTGTGCGGAGCCAACATTCATCCCAAGAATCCTCTACAAGCCTTTGACACACACATAGATCTAGGATCTCGTGCACGCGGCTTCGGGTTAAAGGAATTTAATTGCAATGAAGACCTCAGGGTCTAAGGTCCCAAGGTCGGGCTTCATGATTTGGAGCGTCAACATTTTGATTTTTCAGTCTGCGTCGCACTCTTTGCCAAGCATGGTTCCGGTAGCTGAGCCGCTTGGTACATGTCTGGCCTAGCATCACAATGAGAATTTGAGGTTGAGAATTTCCAAATTTTCCCTTGGGGCTGTGGTTTGGTTTGAGGCTTGGTGGGAAGCCGGAAATGCCGAAAAAATGCTCTGGACCGAAAATCGGTCCCCCTTTGGAAGAATCCAAACAAGAATGCAGAATGCGTTCACCTGTCTGGACACATGTGTGGGCTTTCTTAAGCCCCGGCTGGTTCCCGTTACGCATGGGCTTTCGACCCTGTTACGAAAACCGGTCAGTTCCTGTTAAGGAACCGCGCCCGGTTCCTGTTACACTCCACTGTTGCGGACAATCGGTTCCTTTTTCTTCTAATCCTCCTGACCCTGAAGAGGCCCTGACACCAAGCCCGAACTTAGATGCCTAAACGAGAACTCCTAACCATGATCTGAGGCAAGTGGAAGCTCAAGAGTAGCTCAAGTCTCCAACGAATGCATGGAGACCATAATCCCATCCTGCTAACAACGCACTCCCCACACCCTATTGGTAAACATTCCCCCGGTCGTATCCTCATACGATAATTGGAGCATGCTCTTTGGAGAGGTTAGGCGGGTACGTTACTAAGAGGAGTATACCCCGACACCCAAAAGCCCAACGCACCAAGGCCTCTCGCCGCTCCACCGATCCCAGCTTCGGCCAGAAAAGCCCCTCCTGGCTCCGTTTAGGGCTTGGGGTCTCAAGCACGTAAATGGAAATGACCAAAAACAGGCGAATATAGAGACCAATAACCTATAATCTTTGCAACAATAACCCCGCAACGTAACGAGGGACCAACCGTTTTTAAACACAGTACTCCCCGTGTGTCGCGTTAATCTTCCTACATTAACCTGGATAACTCAAGTGGGTTCTGGGATTTGACCCTGGGCCCTTGACCCTAAACTCTAAACCCAAAACCCAGTTTCAGGGTTCAGGCCCTCCTGGCTCTGAAAGCGTGCCAAGGTCAGGCAGCTGCATGCGGCCAGCGTCGGGACGGAGAAGAACAGTAGGAAGTAGGGCAGCGGAAAGGCAAGAAACCTGAAACTCGCTGGTTGCTAGTAGGGAACAGAAAATCAAATGGAATGGAAGATGAAATGAACACTGCATGTTTTATACGGTATGAAGCACGACATGAGTTTCAGGTTTAGGGCTAATTTGTTGGTTGTCAGTAGAGAATGGAGGAGTGGATCCCAACAGCATCCTCTTTCTGATCCCCAAAAAACAAGTAGCTTCCATGTTTCTGACATTTCTTTAACTCCCCACTAGCAATCAGCAAGGAAGTTCGGCCCCACAGTCCTCTGCACAGACGTGTAAATAACCCACGCGTATACACAGAAGGGTTGTACTGCACATGAGATTTATCTGCACATATGTGCAGCTGAGTCTAGGTATGTCTATGGCTCGCTGTACCTGTCATATTATTGACGATCTTGTGG